TATATATAAAAAGCATAAAGTTTATCCTTAAATACGCAGTTTTGCATTTCTTCGCTGAAATGTTATGATAATATATTCATTTTTAATATATTTGTTTGTTTTTTTTAGCCTTTTTAAGTTTGCATTCATTACTTAACCAACGTATATGTTTAAATTGAAATAAAATTCAAATATAAAAAAAATGTAAACTTATTTTATTTCCGCTAGTTGCCAAAGCAAAAGTTCTAATTTTCATTAAGTTTAACTTTAGGTACTAAAATAACTAAATTAATAACAAAAATTATATATATAAACAAAAACTGATAAAATAACCAAAACATACAGCAATATTACTAAAATAAAAAAGGTAAATATAAAAATTAAATGTAAAATATTCAAAATATTAATAAAAACTATAATATATTTGATAGTAAAAAAGAAATGTTTACAGTAAATTGGCTTAAAAATAAGATGAAACCGTCAAAGTGATAATAATGCAGCACATTACTGTTAGAAATGTTTATGAAATTTCACATATTATTATTATTATTATTATTTAAATACAGTACATACTGTATTCAGTAAATGGTAAATTATGATATTGTATTCTGAAAATCGTTCTACCTTAAGATGTGGTATTTCCTCCTTGGTTTCATTATTAGCCTTGTCACCCTGTTAGCAGATATACAGAAGAATATGTCTTTAAAAAACCAAAGAAGTGCTCAAACTGATAGAAATGAAGCAGAAGAGGCGTCAGGACTCACCCTGGATAAACCGATGACAAACCCTCTGTGAGGAACAAACTTAACTCGCACTTTCTTTTTCGATTTCTGCTAAACATATCATAATAGCACTGACAGTGAGTAAAATAATGCATTCATAAAAATGAAAATCAAATCCGATCTCTACCTGTCCTCCATCAGTCTCCTCTTCCTCATCAGGATGCGTGTCCATCTCTGGTGTCTACAGCAGAAAACGATCTGTGTTACTCAAAGTCTTTGGTTCTGGACTGGGAGTGATTATGTTGAACTCAGTTAAACTCAGAACTGAATCAACTGCTTTGATTGGTTGATTCAGTGTTTCGAAGCTCTCCAATCGTCACACACTGATTCCATCTGCTGGTCACAAACGTCAACAGACAACGACCAGAAAGATCTACAACATCCTTAAACACACAGTTCAGAAACGTTGCAACCTTTTGCATTTCTTTGCTGAATTTCCCTGATAATGTATTCATTTTCCTCTTTGTTTTTAAAGTTTGCATTCATACTCAGACGATATATGTGGTTTATTTGTGTACTTTACACAACAGAAAAAAAAATGCGTACAAAGCTGCACCCCACCCCCATCTCGGGTACTCAGACCACATCAGAGAGAGTATAGGCTACTATATGACAAAAAGTTTGATTTATTGCCCCTCATAAACCCCCCCTCCTCCTACCATAAATGGACACCTGTTTGGACACCTGTTTCTGTACACCCCCACCCATCTAACCGGCCATCTGTTTATCCACCCCAATGATCCAAAGGAATTTATGATTGTTTGGGAAAGTGTTTTTGTGTGGGGTCAGTTGAAACTGTTCAAACTTTTTGTCATATAGTAGCCTATACTCTCTCTCACATCTCTGTTATGCTAATGCCAGCATACAGACCACTTCTCAAACTTGCCAAACCGGTCCAAAAGCAGATCACAGTATGGCCAGATTGGAATATACAGGACTGGAATATGTTTAAAGAGGCAGTCACCTACCATGACCACACAGACCTGCAAGAGTACACTGAAACAGTGACTGCTTACATCAAAAAGTGCATTGATGATGTGACAGTCACCAATAACATCACCACACATGCCAACCAGAAGCCATGGATGACAGCAGAGGTTCGTGGGCTGCTAAAGATGAAGCATTCAGATCAGGAGATAAAGCAGCCCTCAAAACAGCAAGAGTCAACCTGTCCCATGACATTAAGAAAGCAAAACAGTTGTATGCACAAAAAATCAATAATCACTTTACTGACAGCAAGGACACACGGAGTCTGTGGCAAGCTATTCAGACCATCACAGACTACAAGCTACTGCCACAGGCCTGTGATGACGACACATCCCTCCCAGATACACTCAATGAGTTTTATGCACGGTTTGAAATACAGAATGACAAACCTGCACAAAAACTGCCCACACCTCCCAACGACCAGGAGCTCTGCCTGTCTTCAGTCGATGTAAGGAAGACCCTATCTAGGGTTAACCCACACAAGGCTGCAGGTCCTGACAACATACCAGGCCTGGGTACTGAGAGACTGTGCTGAACAGCTGACAGATGTCTTAACAGACATCTTTAAAATCTCATATAGTTTGAAACCCATATAGTTTGTCTTAAGGGGGGGGAGTGTTACGTTCCACATGTGTTTTGTGTATATTGTGTTTCTTTTCGCTGTCCTGTCCTTTTTGTGTTATTGTTGCTCTGCTTCTAGGTCGGTGTCTATTGGCTGACTTGACTGCCAATCATCATTACGACACCATGATGTTCTGCCAATCTGCTGACGTGCCAGCTGTATTTGAGGACTCGAGCTGATTGTGTGTGTGTGTGCGCCATGCCAGCGTACCTCGTGCTCCAACGCGGTCTCCTGATGCTACATGTATCTTGTCTTAGGGAGTCTTGTTTTGTGTTGTGTGTTTTGATCTACATCGACTTGCATCGAATTCTTCGTAAAAGATATCGCGAAGATATGTCGGTTTTAGAGTTACAGCCTGATTACGTGTCGAGTTTAAAGTTAAGAATGCATGTTGGTGTATCCAGCTACTTAATCACATTTTCCTGTCTGTGATGATTCGAATACTTAGTCGGTCGTTGTTATAATACTGCTGGTTCTGTTTCTTGATTAGGTTAGTTTGTATTCTGTTAGATTAGGATTGTGAGTGTTATGCCACCCTTGTATTTTTGTTTGTAGTTTATGAGAGTTTTAGTTCGGGCGTCGCATACGCTGAAGATTCCGGTTTTATTTTCATATTTCTTTATTTTGGTAGTTAGTTTAGAGGTTAGTTATAAGGATTGTTCTGTTTTGTTTATTTCTTTAATTTGGGTGACACTCCTGTTTTTGTTTTCTTTTCTTTCCTATTGTTAGACTTTGTTAAACTTAAACCACTTGTATCTTCTCCTAATACGTTCAGTAAAGTCTTTTTGAAATACATTTCAGTATCGTCTTTGATCCGCACCACACCCAGTAACAGTTGTCCCACCTAAATTTTACGGTATAATCCCTTTTTAACATCAAGTACGTAACACTAAGCCAAGCAGTTGTCCCCACATGTCTCAAGTCCACCACCATCATACCAGTACCAAAGAAGTCACCTGTGTCCTACCTGAATGATTATCATCCCATAGCACTGACCCCAATCACGATGAAGTGCTTTAAGAGGTTAGTCATGCACCATATCAAATCCAATCTCCCCAACACACTTGACCCGCTCCAGTTTGCATACCGTCCAAACTGCTCCACGGACGATACCATTTCCTCCACCCTCCACCTGGCTCTTACCCACTTAGAAAACAAAGACTCCTATGTGTTGTTCATCGACTTCAGCTCAGCATTCAACAGAATAATCCCACAACAGCTCATCAACAAACTAAACCTGCTGGGCCTAAATACCTCCCTCTGTAATTGGATCCTGGAATTTCTGGAAGACCTCAGTCAGTCCGTGTCGGCCACAAAACCTCCAGCACTACCACACTGAGCACAGGTGCTCCACAAGGCTGTGTGCTCAGCCCGCTGCTCTTCACACTGCTGACCCATGACTGCACTGACAAATTCAGCTCCAACCACATCATCAAGTTTGCTGATGACACAACTGTGGTAGGTCTCATCAGCGACAATGATGAAACACCATACAGAGAGGAAGTGGCACAACTGGTTGAATGGTGTGGAGCAAACAACCTGTCCCTCAATGTGAGTAAGACAAAGGAGGTTGTGATGGACTTCAGGAGAAACTCTGTTGACCACCCCCCACTGACCATCGACAGCTCGACTGTGGAGAGAGTCAGCAGCACTAAATTCCTGGGGGTGCACATAACAGAAGACCTCACCTGGACCACCAACACTACATCACTCTCCATAAAGGTGCAACAGCGGCTCCACTTCCTGCGCCGAGCCGACTTAAGAGCAAATCTCCCTCCACCCATCCTCACCACATTCTATAGGGGAACCATTGAGAGTGTGCTGACCAGCTGCATCACTGTCTGGTACG